ATAACATTTTTGTTTAGGGTCATAACCACTGAAATCCATATAATCCTTAATGTCATTAAAGTCATCATATACATCTTCGGTTTTAATATGCAATACAAAACTGTCAGTATCAGTATATAACATTCTTATATCATTTCCATATTTCGGTTTCATAATGTCATAGCAAAATGAATACACATGTTGTGTTGATAAATCTAAATTACTCATTCCTACATATATTGGTTTATTCAATTTAACTACACTTTTTGCCTCCTCAACTCCTATAAGACATGATGATATGTCTGTATTTGAAATTAGGATTATTCACGCATTTTTGGTAGCGTTCAGGGGTATCAACCAGTTCAAAGTCAATATGGTTTCTCACATTTTCCATCGTTTTTCATACACCGCGTTATTCATTAATTTATACATATCTTTCTCACAATCACTTGTAGCGTTCTTTCGCTTCTCTGTGTTAAAGTCAATCCTCGGTTTCAACCATTGCTTATGTCTAAATTCTATTACCCGTTTTTCTTCTTCTTTATTTTAAGTCCTTGTTTCAAATAGAAGTTCAACATGTCAATATGTAAAACATAATTTTATTTATCCATAACATTTAGTATTGACTTGTTTGTTTTCTCATCTTTTGGAGCATTGTTAACATTATATGCTTTGTAGGTTTCTTTCTGATAATCACTAAGCATATCTGCTGATACACTCATAATTTCTGGTGCTAATGGATAATCAGTATGTTTGTCGTGGTATTCTTTCGGATATTCTAAATCAACATCTAAGATATATCCTTTGTTGCTATATTCACTGTTTTGATATTTAATGTCTTCTTCTGTGAAATTATCTTTTACAAGTCTTTTTTTCTTATGTGGTAGTTTCTTACACATTGCCAATCCATAAAGATTATTAGCATCTAAATAATTGATGTAGGATGACGGTTTTGTTTCATCATACGCATCCCCCATATACATATTATTAGCAATTGATTTTCTCATTGAAGCCTGACACATTCCACCTCTCAAACCCTTCTCAACCATATTAAAAAGTTCTTCATCGTGTAAAAGTTCAAGTTCAATTCCTGTTTTTAATAACATCGCGTCCCAAGCAAAGTTAGGTAATGTATAGTCATGGGCTGGGTCTAATTCATACTCTGTTAAACATTGTTTTCTGAAATATTCATATACTTCGGTTAATAATAATACATCGGTTTCTAAATATAAATCGTGATATCCACCGAGGTTTTTAATGTTAAAGTGCTTCCATATTAGTTTTGCTCTTTCATAGTCAGCATCGCTTATATCTTCTCCACTTAATCTACTGTAAAAATGCTTCTTTTCTGGAAGTTCAGTATCATTAATTTATTGAAGTCAATACAATAATCATAAGGATAACTCCCTTTTCTGTCAGTAAAAACAAATCTTTTTCATCTTTTATGTATTTGCCACTGAAACTGTATTTGAAATGATTTTCCCAGTCAGGTCTCAACTTATTCTCTTCATATTTTGTTAATTTAACAAGTTTATCTAATGACGATGACAAGAAACTGAAACTTTCCTTAAATTCAATGTAATAAACTTCTCACTGTTCTGTGCTATTACTGATATGCTTTCTTTCTTTGTATCTAACTTTTCAAGATTAGACATTATTAGGTGGGCATCATAGTTTTGAAGATTATGAAATAATACAGGTATATGATATTTTTTAAAGCAATAGTCCATATTAAATTTCATATGTGCCGCTCCGCTGTATAACCCTGTAAAGTGGCAATGGTCAGCAACTTTATTTTTCGCTTCAACTTTGTTGTTGAAAGCGCCATTACATAAGAAACACTTTTTCGCTTCTAAATGCTTAATTTCATCTAAATCTGACATAATCATATCTTTTGCATTTTTCATTTGCTCCATTGCATCGTCTCTAATATTGTTTAAAGTTTCACAAAAATTATCAATACAATATTCACCTCTATCTAAAAATGGTTTCACTTCTCCACTACAAGCATTGACAAGGTTAAGCATACAACCGCTGGGTTTATGATTTTGGTAGGCGCCCTTCGGTTGCCCAAGAGGCGTTGCCTCGTAAGTCCCTTTGATGCCGTCTGTTGTTTCTGTTGTTAAACATTCAAAATCACCGTAAATAACAAATGGTGCTTTCAGTTTCTTAAAATGCTTTTCAATTTTCATTGTTGTTCCTTCTTCTGGTATTTCTGTGTGTTGAATTTCATTTGCCATACAACCTTTTATTAAGTGAGAATTTAACAGTTTTTCTGACTTATAACCGTGCTGACAGTATCTACAATGAAACAACTTTTCGTTGTGGTTGTTGGTTTGACTACCTATTAATCTATTATAATATTTTATTAAGACATAATGTTCATTACCATCTTTTTTCAATTCGTAATAGATTGATATGACAAGATGGTCTTTGAATCTTCGTTATTCTGTCTGCTCTGATGGTTTGGTTCTGATTTTCAACATAAACATTAACTGATATATAATTTTGGTTGATTGTTTCAAATGTGTCAATGTCATCATTGGATGCTGGAAAATTTACACCATCCCATTTAATTAGACTTTCAGTAGTGAATAATTTCTTGTAGTGTCTCATATGTCGTGGATGGTCTTTCTTGAAGACTTCATACAATTAACATAAAACACGGTATTTGAAACATAATTCATCATCATTTTGAATGTCGATACACGCCTTTTTCTTTGAAATCCATTCTGGTAGTTCCATATATTTACCTGCTCTGTTCGGGTTGTATTTGTCGTGGTGGGTGCCTATTTTATTGACTTTGTTAATTCTCAGTCCTGAATGTTTCAATGGTGAGTTTTCAATTTGAAGTTCAAAGTCTTTAGGCATATTGTCAAGTGCCTTTTTCAATTCAGCAATGTTTAGAATGTTGTATCTCCTGCTTCTCATTTTGATACTTATTTGTTAATCATTTTCATCTTCGGTAGATATTCCAAGTGTGTTTGATGCACTGACAACATCTTCTGTGTCATCACCACCTACATTAATAATTATTTGCATTGATTTCGCTTCTCGTAAAAAAAACTCTGTTAGTTTCTTTTCTTGCCATTTTAGATATGTTAATCCTTTGTATCCCTTGAATGGTATGTTGGTTATTGAATATGTGTTATCGTATCGTTTCAATGCTGAAAATGTCTCTGATGTTTTTGCTCCTGCTCTAATCCTGTATTTCTGGATTGTTTTAATGCCTCTCATCGTGTTTGATGCTTTTTTAAGAAGATGAAATCGTTTGAAACCTTGTGTGTTGCTGACTTGATTGAGTTTGTTTTGTAGTGATGTTGATAATGGTTTGTCTTTGTTGTAATGGTATTCTTTGTTGTTGATGATTATTTTTTTCAATGGTTTGTTATTCTTGCCTGTTTTTATTTGACCTTCATTATTGGATATTAGATATTCAATTACTGAACCTGTGCTGTAATCCCCTGCCATTTCTCTTTTCTATGTAAGGTATTTTCTCTTTAAGATATTTGGGTGGGGGGTTGGGTTGTGGGTTTGGATTTTGTGGGGTTGGGTTCAACGTTGAAACTGTCGTTTCTTTGAACAATGTCTCATCCCCGAAATTTGGGCGTGGCATTCCCGAAATCTGGGCGTGGCATCCCCGAAATTTGGGCGTGTCATCCCCGAAATTTGGGCGTGTCATCCCCGAAATTTGGGCGTGTCATCCCCAAAATTTGGGCGTGGCATCGTGGCATCCCCGAAATCTGGGCGTGTCATTCCCCAGAAAGCCTTAAAATGGTCTGAAACCTGAACCTTGAAAATGTCAAAATGTTAGACTGTTCTTAAATGACAAGATTGTAAAAAATTGTTCAGAACATTTTTAAAAGAGTATAGAGTATAGAGTATATGGAGGATCATAATATGACAAATGAAAAGGGAACTAAACATAAACAATATGAATGTCCTTGCTATAAAATAATGATAGGACTTCATAATAAAGCGAGGCACGAAAGAACACAACGACATAAAGAAAGTCTATTACCTGTTAAAGAACCGCAGTCAGAAAAACCAAAGACAGAAGAAAACATAAATGTAGAACCAGTGAATGATATTTATGAACGCCTTGAATATATGACAATGATTAGTGGAAATTGTTTTTAATGATATTGTTTCATTATAATATGATTAAAACAAATTTTTGTAGAGTTAGTCATCTGTTATAATACTATTTTTTGGGGTGAGGTTTTTGACAAATGAATATGATTAAACATTACTCTTTTTCATACATTTTTGAAATCCTGGTGTTTTTAAACCAAATGAGGCAATGTTGCCTGTCTTGTTGAAAACTTTAAAGAAATGAATAAGGCGGTCATTAGGTGCCTTATTCAAAAATAAAAAAAATGTAAATAATTTAGTCCTCAGAAACTCCCTTGAAAAGGAGGATAGACCGAATTTTGATGATAAAACAGAACAGGCACGATGGGAGGTTGAGAGGCAAGAGGGTAAAATGATACTCCCAATATCAAAACCCAGCCCCCACACACGCCCTTTCTACTGTTTTTTAGGTGACCTGCCAAGATTTTGTGACTTCCAGGCTGACTTCTTTCTCCAAATGGAAGTCCTTTTGTTGCCATTCATAAGACTAGATGACCGGAACTGGAAGACCAGACCATTCTCCCCCTGCCCTTCAGACTGAAACTTGATCCATAAAGAGTAAACATTTTGAGATAACTGCGAATGAACAACATCCAGCGCTGGTGGGGATGGATGAAACCCTATCTGAAAAATTGGTTGATAAACCACCTACCAACTTCTGCCGCGAATGTTGTCTACCCACAGTACCAAGGGGAGGGATCTTCGCGCATTGTACTTAGTCAGTGGGCACAACCATGGTTAGAACCCACTGAAGCCATGGTTCTAACTCTCCATTCAGTGGGTCAAAACCGGACTTGAAAAAACAAAAAGATCGCTTACTAAGTATATACCTGATCACCCCGTGAAGTCCCTTGTGATTCGCTCCAGAGGGTTTTTTTGGTCTCGAGGCACCACCTGGCGCGAGTGGTGTGGACCGAAAGGCACTTGGAGCGCCTCATGGCCGTGATGGCCAGGCAGAGGTTGGGGGAGCCGCCCCACCAGGACGATCCGATCCGATCCGATCCGACGAGGAACATGGGGCCTCCGTTTTCTTTTTCTTCTTTTTCCCCCCGCCCCCCCTGCGAAAGAATCGCCTTTCGGGGCCGTGGACGAGAGTCTTCGTTTGGTGATGATGCTTTGAGGGGAAATATGGGGTTGTGTAGAAAAGCAGGAGCTCACCATTTTAGCCCCTCCCCCCCAAGTCCGAAAAGAGAACTCCCCATTCTTTCCTGCTTTGTGCGGAAGGCCAAAACGGGAACAGCTGGTTTCTGAACAGAGCTATGGTTTTCCACTGGCTTCCAGGACTCACTCTGAGAAAAACAATCATCCGCAGGACGACCTACGGCTTCGGCGCGCGCCTGGCCGTATGGTCATCGACGTGCACTTCCGGGACAAAGCTGCACCGCTGGGGTGCGTGGTGGAGATCCTGAATGCGTACTCGCTCTTCGGCTTCCCCAACCCCTGGTCTTGCCCGTTTGCCACAGTTTCTGGTTTAACCACTTGTAGCGGGAACCCAGTCACGCCCCAAACGGCCCATGTGCTCGTCGATTTGCGTCGAGGTCCGGGCGGTCTCAGCGGAGTGAGGTGGTGGAGCTCTTGAGGCGACCGTCGATTCGTAAGAACGTGGCTTCGCCAATGAGCTTGGGCTCATGGCTTCGATGAGTTGAAACATCTTCGGCCTCAAGGCGCCCGGTTGAACTGTTGCTACCAACATGAGGAAAGATGCCATGAGGAAAGGTCTAGATGGGTATGTCTTGTTGTTCGGGCCCCCTCAACGAAGGACCATGAAAAGCCGGGGCATGGTCAGAACTCCTGTGACATGGGTGCTAGGAACCTGCATGGTTAGAAGGCCAATGGTTGATTTTGCTGTTGGCCCAGACAGCAAGACTTGCTTCAGCTGGCAATGAGCATGATGGACATCCCGAAAGTGCCACCGAAGCCCTCGCAAAAAGGCTTAGAAGGCACCTCTCTAGGCTTTCCTGAAAGGAGCCGAAAGGGTTGGGTTGGTATTACTCCGTCTGACTCCCTATTTCCTACAATAAAATCTCCGCAGAAACCGAAACGAGAGAAACCTTAAGGGCAGGTGACATCAACGGAGGCGCTTGGATGGGACCTTCAGGTGTGTTCCGTAACCAAATTCGGCCGTTCTCCTTGCCGAATTGGCACAATGGGTGGCTCGTTTTCTTGAGGGTAGCCTGTCTGTTGGTGGTTTGAAGGGGAAAGTGAAGGTCCCCCCCCAGAAAGAGATACACGCACATGGAGGTCAAAAGCAGCGTTTGGGGGATCGATCCTTCTTAAAGTGGAAAGACGGCAAGACCGGGGCATCCTCCTGAAAAGGGCGCCGGAATGTTTTGTTTCGCAAGGGCTGCCTCCAGAGCGCAGCAAGTGCAGCAGGCAGCGCTGCAGGAGAGCACGGAGAATTTGGAGGCAACGATCTTTGGGAGCTGGGCCCTAAATCGTCAAGTTTCAATAATGAGCAGGCCCCTTGTGTCTCATGGAAATTCACCGGAGGTCTGGAATGTAGACCCCGGATTATTCAACCCCAAGTGGATTGTTTGGGCGATGTTTCTCCATCAAGTGATCCAGATTCTCTCTGAAATGGGACACCGCCCATGAATCTATTGGGTTCCCATCAACGAACAACTCGCAGTGTAGTCGGCCTTCCACATGGTGATGTTTACAACTTCCCAAAAGGAACGTGGTCCCATTAGCCATTGCCGGGTTCACATGGCCAGCTATCCTTCTGGCTGTCGGGAAATACTGTTGAACATAGATGGAACATTCACTTTCCCCTGGTAACTTTTGACTTACCCGCGTAAAGGGAGTTGGTGCCATCTAGACTTGGGTTGCTGCATGTCAGGCAACTCCTAATTGGTGGTTTGGATTGGTGATTTGGGGATTTGAACCCCCTATTTTTGAATGGGAAGGGCCCCCCCTGAACCAAACCAACTGGGTGTGTCTTTTCCAAAAACGTGGTGGCTTTCACCAAAGACCCAAGTAGGGGGTAGCTGAGAATAGGTTTTGGTTCGGGTCCTGTTCGGGGAAAAAAACGGGCTCTGCCAGGCCATGCGCCGATCCCTCGCTCGCCTGGACTCCGAGTGGGCAGATGCCAAGGTGCGCAACCCATGTCTAATATTTGTTCGGTCAGGTGACATCGGATTTGGGTGACACTTTCTGATACTTGGGTGTGCAACGCCATCCGCTTGCCAGGTGACGGTGAGAATGGACTGTTGCTCATAAGCAAGGAAGAGTGGTTTCCCTTTGACCCCCCCCCCTCTCCCCCCCAAAAATAACAATACAAAAAAGACAAGAACACATCAAAAAGGGAAAACAAACAAACACACAAACAAACACAACCCATGAAAACACAGGCACCTTCACAAAAAAGGCGTGCCGGTCGTGTGAGGTTTGTCCGGCGGTTTTTCTTGTCAGGCGGCCGCTGAGAAGCGGCACCGTGGCCTGCTGCAGCGCTTCGCGCTGGTGCTGCAGGCAAAGATCGACAAGGCGAGATCGAGAGAACTCGTAGGAAAGAGACGTGGGGTTTGGTGGTTTGGTCCCTGCGATTCGCACACATTTGGGGGAATGTAGCGGAACCGAATGGAATGATTTGCAACTTTGCCTTGGGGCAATGGAAACCCCAAAAGTGATCTGGTTTTCCAGATCGCTTTTTGTCCGCGGACCCCGGATTTGAGTCGAAGCTGGTGAACATGGGTGTTCCTCCTTTGCGCATTGTCTCCAAACCAGGACTACCCTACACCTGAGTTTTTGACGGGTTACGTTGGTTGGGGACCAGTCCCAACCCACAGCTCTAGACTCGTTTTCGGCTTAGTAGGTGCTTTTGATTTCATGAGCTGCAAGATGTGGCAAGGGGTCTCGACCAGCTGGGTCCAAATCCCTTTGACTTGGTGATCCCTGGTGCAAAGTTTCCAAAGCCTCCATAGAATGGTAGCATAAATAGGCCCTAACCTCCAGGGCCACCTTGTTTTTGTCGGGTGGGGGGATTTTTTTTTTTGGCCTCTCAGGAGCGTGCCTTGCACGCGGAGGTGCAGGACGGATTGCAATCCGATTCATGGAACACACAAGGGCTAAGCCAGGGGTCGGATTCGGACCCAAAGTGGCGGGCAACTTCGGTGTCCTTTTCGCTTTCTGATTATCCCCAAAAGGGTACCCTCATTCCCTCATTTCATTGGGCAGGCACACATTTTCCCCTTTAGTTTCAGCAGCTTTGGCTTTTCGGATGTGTTGGGAAGGCCCGTTTCGGAAGGGCCCTCTTCTTTCCCTCGTTCTTGGGCCCATAGCCCCTGACACCACTCTTCCGGTTTCCGTGGTTTCGGGATTGTTACCGGCACAGGGATCCCGACAGAAGTTTGGGCATAGAAAGAACGTTTGCAGTTGGATTTGCCATAGCGTCAGTGGCATGCGCCTCTGCCTTGCTTCAAGGCAATTGCCGTTTCTGTCTTGCTTAGACCCTGATCCTGAGATGCAGTGGTGCCACGCAGGAGAGGCGTTGGGCGAAAATGGGTGCAGCCAATGTCAGCTCCCCAGCACGGCAGCAGGGGGGGGCAGTTGAATTGATCACGCGGATGAGCACGAATGGATCACTGCAGCGTTAGATGGGCACCCGACATCGAGTGAGCGACATACCCTCGCATGTAAAGGAAACTCGTTTCGGGGAAACGTTGGGGTTGCTGCTCGGTTGCTAGTTTGGACCCACAAATAAAAGCTGAGCACCTTTTAGGACCATAATTCCCTCAGTTTGGTTTATCCGTTTAGTTTTCCCCTTGAACTTACCCAGAGAAAGGGAATCGTTCCATCAATGACTCTTTCATCCTCGTGGGTGTAGTTGGCTTTGACAAGAAGTCCCTTTTTGTTGCCGGGAGTGTTACAAATGTCTAAATCCTACGTTGGAGCTCTGGAAGGTAAATGTTGTGGGGGGAGGGGGGGGGTCTCAACTTTGTCTTGTAGATGTTGAGGGAATCCGACATGCTCTAAGTGTGGAGTTCCTTCTTGTTGCCCTTTCAACTGCTTACTTGGAGTGGCCGAACAAGAGGTGTGAAACCAGTATGAAACCAGTCTGAACCAGTGTGAAATCAGTTACTTGGTTTGTATGCGAGAAAGCAAGTTGCACTCAAATCGCACCCGTCACCTCAAAATGTCCCATTCGCCAATCGCACCCATCACTTCCGAACCCAAATCGGGCTTTTCAGGGCTCGAGGCTTTGGGAAATGTCCTTGCGGGCCAAGCGACAGTCTTGGTTGTTGTTTGATATAAGTTTTAATGACACTGAAAGACCGTATGCTACAGCTATTGAAGGAGAAGCCAGTTTTGAGACAAACTGTGCTGGCATCGCCGTATGCATGAAGTTGGAAGTTGATCTTTGAACCTTCAGACCCGTTCACAAGGACTTTGTGACGTCATGCAGCACTGCACAAAGCATCGCCTTGCAATGCTGCTTTTCCGCATTGGATGACTTGAATCTCACAGGACACAGCACCTTCTCAGCATTTGTTGACGTGTATATTTGGATAAAGTTTCCTAGGCTACAATCACCTCGCGAGAGAGCTGTCAAGAAGCAGTTGTTTCACTTCTCTAGTTGCATTTCTGGCTGGAGATGCGAATTTCTATTTCACAACCACATGTTCATTGGCTCTCTGATGTCAATCAGGATGCGCAATTTCCCGACGTCTAGGATAAACTCCCCGATATCTGCTTTGTAGTGTATAATTTGCCGTGGGCGTGTTTCTGGTAGGGAGTATGTTATTTCTAGTATTCCTACTTTCTTCGCAGTACTGGTAAGTACAGAGAATGTGTTCGATTGTTTCTTCCTCTTGGTGTCACGACCCGTAATTTGGTTTGGACAGTGCATAGTATTCTTATCCGGGGTCCTTCCTTTGCAGAAATCGCCAACAATCGATGGGAATGATTGGCCGACTTCAACTTCAGGTCGCAGCTTTGCCGGCGCAGGACGGGGTTGAGGTACCTGGACTGACAGCCCACAAGAAGCCTGAATGAGACCCGACAATTTTTTGGGTTGCCCAGCAGACGAACCCCAGGTATCTAATACGGAAGTTTACCATCCCTGGATGGGCTTAAAAGGAAACCAGAAGGACACCCACCACGAGGGATATCCTCGAAACCATCGTAGGGTTTGTGCCTTACACCTTACGAGCTTACAATGATGTAGGCCCATTTGCTGGAGATTCCCAATTACATCTTGTGGCCATTGCACACTTTGCAGATGAGTCAATCCTTTCGGTTCAACAGCTCTCTGAGTTCCAGCTTGACTAAAGTCCACCCCAGCACGGCAGGAACAGGGCACCCGTTCCGAATGCCAGTGATGCCGTTCGCATTCGTGCTTGCAGGATTTGGGTTGCATTCCCGCCAATCATGGAAGTAAACATGGGGTTTGGAAGATCTCCATGTTGAGAAGGCCTGTTGTCCACTTCCATGTTTGTCGGAAAGAAGGTGGCAAGCTCACTGGGTATCGGCAAGGCACAAACCACACAGGTGTGTGTGTGTGTGTGTGTGTGTGAGTGTGTGGTGCTTTTTTGAGGGTACTCTTTTCAGATTTCAGCTTGATTTTCATGAAAGATGAACCATCATTCGGGGGTCCACGTCCGTATTTTGACTTATACCTTCATGTTGCGGTTGTACCTTTCAAACCATCCAAAGAGGGTGACAGACATGATTGGCCACTATTTTGAGTTGAGAGAGCAGAATTCACAAAAAGTGAAATATTTCACACGTTTATCGGATGCCCACCAAAGGGCGCCCAATGACGATTCACACCCAGTTAGGTTCTGTTTGTGTTGGGTCTATGGGTCGTGTAGCTTGCGCTGGCAGCACCTGACTTGTGGTTGCGTGTTTTCCTGTTTCGCTGCGCTGTTGTGCCCAGTCCTGTTGCAGCGGTCAGCTCCATTTTGCTTTGTGTCTAGCCTGAAGCAGCTGAAGCATATCATTTTGGGACACTAAGTGTATTTTCTTAGGGGAAATACTCTCTGCCACTGATACTGCGACAAATTTTGTCCCATGGATTCTTGACTGCTCCATTCCAGCCACGATTCCAACTCTGGTATGCAAAGCTTCTGTAGAAGGGGTGAGTCCCAACCTTTCAACTCATGGCTTTGGGTGAGCCTCTTCAGTACCCGGAACTTCCTCTTTCCTAGCAAAGATATCCTCTGCTTTTCAGTCCCAGGTGTTGACTATGACTTCTTTCAGGAGCCAGACTTGGAGGGCGCTCCCGACGCCCGCGGCCGCGGCGCGCGGGGCGCGCGCGGCGCGCGCGCGCACGCGGGGTGCGGGGTGCAAGGGCCGGCCGCGCACGTGGACGAGGTGCGCGCAGATATTGGGCTGCCGGATGAGTTAGGGTCTGCCTCCAAATGGGATATGGAACACCCAAAACGGATGGGGTTCTAGGTTTCTCTTTGAGGAACTTGCCAGTGAGTGGCCGTGTTCATATCGTTTTGAGCTTGTGGGCAAAGGCAGCTTTTACTCTTCGACACATTGTTTGAGAATCACTTTGCCAAGAGAAGCTCCTCAAGTTGAAAGACAGAACAGACAGGTAATACGTAGGCGATCGCTTGTAGATTGAGAATGACTCTACACAAGCGTCCCTTCTTGGTGGTTTTGAGCATCACCTTTTGGGCCCTGCAAGCTTTGGTAGGGTGACGTTTTAGGGGGAAGGATAGAGAACTGCGCTTCAGGAATGATCCTGGAGCTGAGACAAATTAGGACTGAGCGTGTCCATGCTTTGACAGACCTATACCCGACCAACCGCGAGATTTGATTTGTTTGTTTGATTGATTGATTGATTGATTGATTGATTGATTGATTTGATTGATTGATTGATTGATTGATTGATTGATTGATTGATTGATTGATTGATTGATTGATTGATTGATTGATTGATTGATTGATTGATTGATTGATTGATTGATTGATTGATTGATTGATTGATTGATTGATTGATTGATTGATTGATTGATTGATTGATTGATTGATTGATTGATTGATTGATTGATTGATTGATTGATTGATTGATTGATTGATTGATTGATTGATTGATTGATTGATTGATTGATTGATTGATTGATTGATTGATTGATTGATTGATTGATTGATTGATTGATTGATTGATTGATTGATTGATTGATTGATTGATTGATTGATTGATTGATTGATTGATTGATTGATTGATTGATTGATTGATTGATTGATTGATTGATTGATTGATTGATTGATTGATTGATTGATTGATTGATTGATTGATTGATTGATTGATTGATTGATTGATTGATTGATTGATTGATTGATTGATTGATTGATTGATTGATTGATTGATTGATTGATTGATTGATTGATTGATTGATTGATTGATTGATTGATTGATTGATTGATTGATTGATGATTGATTGATTGATTGATTGATTTGATTGATTGATTGATGATTGATTGATTGATTGAATTGATTGAATTGATTGATTGATTGATTGATTGATTGATTGATTGATGATTGATTGATTGATTGATTGATTGATTGATTGATTGATTGATTGATTGATTGATTGATTGATTTATTGATTGATTGATTGATTGGATTGATTGATTGATTGAATTGATATTGATGTGATGTGATGTGATGTGATGATGTGATGTGATGTGATGTGTGATGTGATGTGATGTGATGTGATGTGATGTGATGTGATGTGATGTGATGTGATGTGATGTGATGTGATGTTGATGTGATGTATGTGATGTGATG